TTGTTTTTTTTCTTTTTTCATGTACCTTTATGAAATTGGATCTCAAAGTTAGCCTGCAAGCACCTTTTCCAATGCCGTTTAGTAAAATTGCACCTTGTGATGAATCTTCCCCTGAGTCGTCGAGACATACTAAATATACTCTGGTAATCTTAAAGAAGGCCCTGTGGCTTTAAGAAAAGCGTGACTATGTAGAAAGAAACACAATTCCAAGAAGGCACAAGGAGCTCGATGTGTTCCAAGCGCCCGTGAGTGGATAAAAAAAATTGGTAGCCTCGGCCAAAACAATGTGCCAAGATGACAAGAAAGCAAAAAAAAAAAAAACTTATGTTTTGTTGGCCCCTCTATTTATAGATATATTTAACCAATTTCTATGGACTTTAAACGATGAATTATTTTTAAAAAATCATAATTTTTTTTAAAGTTTGTCGTTAATACAGTTAGGAATGACCATATTTTCTTTTATTTCTTTTTCAAAAGAATGACCATATTTTCTTGTAGTGAAAGAAAGTTTTTATGATCTATGTTTGTTATCCTAAAAGTTGAAGCCATTATATTCTCTTTTGGTTTTGTAGATGTCATCAAAGTTTTGGAAGATGGAGATCTTCAAACTCTTGGCATGATAGATTATGACAAGAGATTGACCCACTCTTTCACTGCCCACCCAAAAGTTGACCCGGTTACGGGTAAGGTCTTCAGTTTTTCCTGAAAAGCATGATATAGTATTTCTGTTGACCCATGATGGGCCCTCTCTCTTTCCAGGTGAAATGTTTACATTTGGGTGTTCGCCTATGCCACCTTATCTCACATACAGAGTGATCTCGAAAGATGGCATTATGCATGACCCTGTCCCAATTACTATCTCAAAGCCAATCATGATGCATGATTTTGCTATTACCGAGAATTACTCAATCTTCATGGATCTTCCTATGCACTTCAGGCCAAAGGTATGTATGTTACTCCTCAAGGTTAGAGGTTACACTAGAGATTTAGTTGAAATGGTGTGCAGAGAATCATAAAGTGCATGCCTCCCTTTTACATTCATTCTTTTGTTGTGTTTGTAAATGATTTCAAGGAAATGGTTAAAGAAAAGAAAATGATATATTCATTTGATCCCACAAAAAAGGCTCGTTTTGGTGTTCTTCCACGCTATGCCAAGGATGAGCTCATGATTAGATGGTTTGAGCTTCCCAACTGCTTTATATTCCACAACGGTGTGTGCTTTGATATATCTGTTCAAATCATACTTATATATTCTATATACCAAATAAACTTTTGTGATACGCTCCCTATATCTCCAGCCAATGCTTGGGAAGAAGAGGATGAAGTAGTCCTCATCACTTATCGCCTTGAGAATCCAAATCTTGACACGGTCAGCGGGAACGTGGAAGAAATACTTGAAAGTTATAGCAACGAACTGTAAGAATCACTGACCTGTTACATCTCTTCTGCTCCCTCGTAAACTAGATATACCCTCCTAAACTATTGCTTGTGCAGGTACGAAATGAGATTCAACATGAAAACAGGCTCAGCTTCACAAAAGAAACTATGCTCATCTTCAAATCATTTCCCCAGAATCAACGAGTGCTACACTGGAAAGTAAGATCTCACCCTTGTACTCAAGTGTTGATGAATAGTATGCAACGAAACCTCATCATTCTTTCTTTTGGTGCATTTAGGAAAAATAGATACGTATATGGTTATGGAACATTTGTGGACAGTATCAGAAAGGTTAAAGGAATTACCAAGTTTGATCTGCATGCGGAAGCTGAGACAGGCAAAATAATGCTGCAAGAAGAAAGAACTATTAAAGGAATTTATAAACTGGGACAAGGAATATATGGTTCTGACGCTATATATGTCCCGCGTGAGTCGGCCGAAGAAGACGACGGCTACTTAATATTTTTTGTTCATGACGAAAACACAGGGTAACACTACTTTCTTATCAGTTAAGTAACATTTGTTTCTTTTTGCATCTTTATGGTAAAATAATGTGATGATGACTGAAAATGGGCAGAAAATCATGTGTTCATGTGATAGACGCAAGAACAATGTCAGCTGAGCCAGTCGCAGTGGTGGAGCTGCCACATAGGGTTCCATATGGGTTTCACGCCTTATTTGTTACAGAGGTACTTCTAAAATACATCCATATAGTCTCTTCTACACAAGCAATGCATATCTAACCGTACCATTGGTCTTTCCTCCACAGAAACAACTCCAGGAACAAACTCTTATATAAGCCAAAACTGGAGCATATCCGGATATGTCGAAGTTATAAAGCTCATCTGCCATTTTGTATGACCATCGTTTGTAATTTTATTGATTAGGTTATTCCAAGTTAGCAATTAGGAAAGTTATGTGACGTTTGGTAGACTTTGGATAGTGCTCTCACAATTTACATCATAACAAAACTCAGCTCCTAGAAGCAAACCATGTCCCTAGACTTCCTTGTATCTGGAATCACCTGCAACCCCGATTGGTAGCAGCATGTTCCTCAATTGTTCCCCAATTACAATCTCTGAAAATTTTCTACCAAATTCCTCAATTTATCATCATTTCATCTTTTATCTTATGCACATTAGCCTTTTTAGTCATGCCGAAAAAAAAAACGGGATGCACATCTTACACGCTAGCCCTCCAAGTCACCCTTTATTTTCGCTGATAATAGTTTTTTCTTCTGTAAGATAGAGCTCCTTAAACATGATGAATTAATGCAAATTATTTAGATATATGGAAATGCTTATGTGCTGTGTATTAACTTTGAAAAATCATTTCTACTCTTTGATAAGAGAGTAGCTGGACATGTGAAGGAAACAATCAAATCTTCTTTAGGAATACACCGTATGGGGGCTTTACTGGGACTAACTAGTAAAAGTCCTGGGGCAGGAAGCGATCTTAGAAACCAATCATGCTCCAGAAAAAAAAATCACAATATAGTATTCGTTTAGAAAAAACAAAAATTACATCTTCATTATATGGTCTTGAAGTGAGTAAACCCTTGCTAAATCACTTCAAGTGAACCCTTGCTAAATCAGCTTCCTCCACAGAAAGTTGGGCCATCGGTCCCCTATTAGGACCAGGGCATACTTAACATATTGTAAGCTAATTTGGTGCTAACGAAGAACCAGCCTGCAATAAATTGGTAAGGTATATTAATGCTATGAATGACCCAATATCAAATACTAGTAATAATATCAGCAAAAAAATGTTTAAAGTGAAGGGGGAATGAGATCTTACTTGGGAATACCAGAGGACTTTAGTGGCTCTAAATGTAGACTTTGTGCTTTCATTGAGGAAATATTACATTACATAATCAATGGGCTGTCAGCAAGGTGGTTGTTGAAGAGAGGGAAGGAATTTTTGTATAATCTATCACATTAGCCCTCCTCACCTATGGTGTGTCCAATTATCTGCTTCTTTAGGATGTGTGAAAAGCTCGCGAGTGTCATTGAACGTTTTTGGTGGATATCAGATCCACATAAAAGAGGAATCCACTCGGCGTGTCCAATTATCTGCTTCTTTAGGATGTGTGAAAAGCTCGCGAGTGTCATTGAACGTTTTTGGTGGATATCAGATCCACATAAAAGAGGAATCCATTCGGCCAATGAGGAGACCATGTGTAGTCCAAAGGATAAAGGTGATCTAGGATCTCGTATGATCCATGCATCCATCCTCGATTTGCTAGGAAAAATTGTTGAATATAATTAAATTTCCAGGTTCTCTCCTTGATAGGGTGTTGCACGACAAGTATTACAGACTTTGTTTGCCATTGCAATCAAGTCCTTCTGATAATACATCTTATGTTTGGACTAGTATTTCAGCATCAAAACCATTACTTTCTTTGGGTATTAGTCACAAATTTTATTCTGGTTAAGAGATTAGAGCTTGGAAAAATACATGGATTCCCAACAATCATTTCGAGACCAGCCAGACCTACTGCACCTGTTGTCAACCCAATGATGAAAGTAAGTGATTTTATCCATGGAGAGGTTAATATATTGGATGAGGAGATGTTGGATACCCTCGTAGGACATGAGGTTATTCCATTGATACAAAACTTAGAAGTGAGTCAATCAAAGCAACATAATACTTTTTGTTGGAGATATATGAAGAATGGTCAATACACAACAAAATCTGAATACTGGGTAGTTAGAATATCCTAACCAAGAAACTGAATCCTTATGTTCAGTGATTGTGAGTGGGTTTGGACAGAATCTATCCATAGGTGTGCTTTTAGTTCTGCATGTGATGATGACTGAATCCTTGTGTTCAGTGGTTGTGGGTGGATTTGGACAGAATCATTAGGATAACTCATATCCCAGGCACCAAAAATCAGAGAAGGAGACATTCATCATTACATGCAGAACTAAAAGCACGCTATGGGCATGGAATGTATTCTCTCAAAAATCATGGCTTTGGAACATACATGAACGATTTGATATCAATGTTTGAAGACCCATGAGCGTGGCCAAGATTTTCAAAAAGCTAAAGAGCTATCAAAAGAAGATTCCAGGATTTCACTATCGTGTACCAACTTCGATGAGAATATTCTACCTCATATTCATTGGTTGTTATATTCTTATATGGTTACGCAAACTAATAATTTGAGCAATATAATAGCCGTTTGATGTAAGAAATAGTTTAGTATATATCTATTACTCATCAACAGGGGTATAGGTTCCCAAATTTATCACAATAGCATTTCTTACCCAATCCTTTGACGATACACTACACTTTCATGTGCTGCACATCGGTGGAGTCACTTAATTACTATCTATAATATATAAATATTTTTGGTTTGTTCCAGTTTCACATGATTCTTTACCACTACCCTCCAAAATTAGGGTTACTCTTTCATATCTCGAACAACTAGCTGATGAAATCTGCAAAATTTGGAAACGAAGAGGCTACATGTTCTGCGATATAGATGAAGGACCTACTGGATGACTTGCTCTTACGAATCCTCTCATTGGTTCCGGTAAAAAAATTATTGTCCGAATTCCTATTGTCTAAACGATGAAAACCTCAGTCGAAGATGATGCCAACAACATGGACTTTTGGTTTTCGGTTTGATTCTGGTTCTTTTTTTGGTTTTTGGTTTTTTCGATTCTAGAGATATAGGAACTATTAGATTAATTATGAAACTCAGTTTGGTTTTTTTTTGGTTATCTTGTTTTTTGGTTCGGTTTGAATAAAACCTTTAGGAATTAGCTAATATCCTATGTGTCTGATTCGGTTCCGTTTTTTTTTTGGATAATTTCGCATAACTTGGCTAAAAACAATTTTTTAAAAAAAAAAAAAAAATTTAGATAAGTTTAAATTACACATGTCAATTGGGACCGAAGCCCGCAGCCCAAACCCACCCAAGCCTATAAATATTATATAAAAAATGAGCCTTTTGGGATTAATCCATATGGGCCTTAACAATTTTGGACTTAAGCCCGTTAGGCTAAGGCCGGCCTGAAAACCTGAAACTTATATATTAATTCATTTAATAATTAACATTGTTTCTTATTTTTAAACAAATATAGAATTGATTCCCATGTTTTAAACAAATATATAATTTCGAGAACTATAGTAGCGTGAAAATCTAGTTTCAGCATTGGTGCTCATGTTTTAAACAAATGTAGAAATCGTCTCTTACCAACATTCTCATTGTCACTGATTTATACACATACTTGGTTTGAATAATTTATGTTCCACGATCCACGAACATATTGGTATTTATAAAATTTTATTTTATATTGCTATATATGTAAAATTTTAAAATTTTAGATATACTTTTTGATGACAATGAGAATGTTAAATCTGATTAACATACCTGTCAACCTACTAGTTACAACTATTCTAACCAAAATCTCGTATGACCTAGCATTTCATCCTTATAAGTTAACTTTAAAACAATCTTTCAATCATTTACTGTTTTTAAACATTGTCGCCTAGCTTAATCAATACTTTTCTAGTCTAGTGTGTGCCCTTTCTCCTTATTGGATATGATCCTTAAGTACTCAATTTGACACTCTTATTTGAGAGAGTTAAAACGCTTAGGGTAATTTGAGCGAGATCAGATGGTTCCGAAAAACAACATAACTGGCACAAAAAGAGTATATTTTGGGAATTTCCATACTGGAAGGATTTACTTCTACGACACAATCTTGATGTGATGCATATAGAGAAGAACTTCTTTGACAACATCATCAATACGTTATTGTACGTCCCCGGGAAGACAAAAGATAACAAGAACTCAAGGTTGGATTTGCATGCATTATGTTGTAGAACTGAGTTGCACATTAAGAGCGATGGGAAAATTCCAGTGCCCATTTTCAGATTGTCAACACAGGCAACAATGGCGTTGTTCAAGTGGGTTTCATCAGATGTGAAGTTTTCCGATGTATACGTTTCAAATCTATCAAGATGTGTTGAACAGGGACAAAAGTTTTCAGGAATGAAGAGTCATGACTCTCATGTGTTTATGCAATGACTACTACCATTTGCATTTGCGGAGTTGCTTCCAAAAACTGTTCACGAATCACTTGCAGTTATTGGAGATTTTTTTCAGAGATCTTAGCTTACGCACCTTAACTGAAGATGTCATCAATCAACTTGATGACAATATCCCGATCCTAATGTGCAATTTGGAGAAATTTGTTCCACCGTCAATTTTTGACGTGATAGAACATTTAGTTGTCCACCTCCCGTATGAGGCATTGCTTCGTGGGCCTGTTCATAATGGATTGATGTGTCCTTACCAGCGATCCATGAAACATTTGAAAGGGAAAGTAAAAAACCTTGCAAGGGTGGAAGGTTCAATTGTTGCTGGGAGTTTGAATGAGGAAACATCTCACTTCACATCGTACTACTTTGGGTCACAAGTCCAGACATGAAAGAGGGCTCTGAGCAGATATGATGATGGTGGTGTTTTGCAGACATATGTTGATGAAAATATTCCATACATATTCTGTAAAATTGGACGTTTAGGTGGGAAACTGAAAAAAGTTTGGTGGTCGAGTACAAAAGACGCTCACAGTGCCCACACGTATATACTCCTTAACTGCGAGGAGATGGAGTCATTCGAAAGGTATGAAATTTTATATAACTATTACATTGTGTTAATTTAATCTATTATAATATAATTTACAAATTAAAACAGTGAATTTATCGCCCAAGTTGAAGAAGCTATACCAGGAATATCAACTAATGATCTCAACAAAAGGAAAGATCGACACTTCGTGAAGTGGTTAAAAACGCATGTATGAATCAAATATACTTAGTTATGTACATTGATGA